ATTTTTGACGCAAAATTGACCGGGTGGAAATAAGAGAGACAGCCTCTTAAGTAAACACTCTTGCATTTTTGTCTTAAAACTAAGAAGGTTTCTTACAAACCTGGCTATCTACAAAGTGGCCAGAATTGTCAAACAATTTGGAGGCCGAAGGAAGCTGAAAACTGTTCCCTTTATTTGACAAAACAGTCCCAGCGAGTGAATTAGGCTCCTGTCGCGACACTAGCAGGGACATTGCCTGGGCTGGAAGCTCTTTTGGCTCTTCTCCAACGAGAGTCCGGGACAAGATGGTGCTTCCGACTTCCTCCAAGGAATGAAGTAGAGTCTCAACTTGGACACGAGCCTTAAAGAAAAAGATTAAAAAATAATTGTTGTCACTCAAAGTTTTAACTTTTAGAGCAATTAATGCTTTTTTTTCTTTGTTTTTTGAGGAATAGCAACCCAAAAGCTAGATTTTTAACATCAATCTTTTTACCAACTGAATCTAGCTTTTGTTCCCAATTATCGGTCAAAATGTTGTACTTTCAGTGCCTCCTTTCTAGAAATATGGTATTGAAGACATGGCAAGCGAAATTGTGTTTCAGATCAGCGCTCCAATCAGGAAGTGGAAAATGTGGGTAGAATTCCAATTTGACGTGGCTTTTTTTCCTGTGGAACCATTATAGAGGTGCTTTGCGGATTTAGCACATGTCTAACTCTAATTTTCGATTCAGGTTTTTAACTTGAATTTATATCCGATTCCCTACCTGCAGCTGTACGTCAGCACCGTCCCTTTTGGTCCTCCTACCCAATTTATTAGACAAAGAAGTTCTCGATTTGAGATTCCCCTTTAGATTCTTAGACAAGCGTCCTTTATATGCAGTTATAAAGTTAGCTTTCATTTGAGACTCTTCATGTGACACAGCATTTTCCAGACTAGCTCCGTGTGAAGTTAGCCTGAGCATGCTCCCAAGTCCAGTTACAAGACTTTTCACACCATCAAATAGTGTGTCGTAACTTTGTCCAGCTTCACTCGCCGTCTTCAATACTACAGCCATCTTTTCGAGTGCATCCGTTGCATCTTTCTAGACGAAAAGAAAAGTTTAAAGGATCAGGAAAAGCATTTTTGTTCTTTCAAGCGACCTGATCGTGTTATTTGTAATTTTAGCTAACAAAGCGATACTGGCGTGATTAAAATGAAGTAATTGGTTATTAAATTACCTGTGCTTCGTTGGTAATCTCGGCGATGACTGAGCTGGCAGAGGCTATCACATTCGATACCTGCTGGACTCTAACGACAGTATCTACTGGGACGGTTGAAAGCTGTTGTATGATGTTTGATTTTATCTACAAAAAATATAAATGTATTCTTAACATGGGCACAAATGGAATAGTTCCAATCCCATAACAGGTATACAAATATCGTTATGGACAAAGTAACACGGCCGGGTAAAGACAATTCTGCGCTCAAGCCGGCAACAACAAGACACGGAGTTGGAGTCTATACAAGTTATAATAGTATTGCGTCTTCCTCTAAATACTAGCCATGCCAGGTTTATCTTTCAAACCCGGTGAGAAAAGACCCAGAGACTTCTCAGTTCCAAGCTTGGCACAGCGTGCGGTAACGTTGGTGTTACCAGCAACAAACTTTGCTTGGGTTCAAGTCCCGACCAAGTGCCCAAGGGTACAGGAGCCCAGGGCAGTTGTGACTCAAACTGAACTGTGTCCCATTAGGCCTCTAATAAAAAAATTCCTTACAATTAGGAAGTTCGCTCTGAGAAGTTCCATCATTAGTTTTTCTAAGTATGTAAGAATTACCATAATTTTTTTCTCTGTGAGCTCCTGCGCCTGACTTTCTGCAGATTCTGATTGCGTAACAAAATCAACGGCCGAAAGGACTGCTGCGGCCAATTGTGTGGCACGTGACACATCACCTGACTTGATCAAGGAGTTCAGTTCACTTTCATCGCCAGACGTGAGGTTGGTGACAACATCGACAAGGTCTTTTGGATCAATACTGGGCTCAGAAACCTAAAATTAAAAAAAAAAATTTCATCAACTTCATCTGGATGTCATAGACAGTGCTGACTAAAATAAGAAGTGAACAGGAAAAAAAGTCAAAATAAACTAGTGAAGGTGTTCTTTGCCGTTACGGTTACCATTTCATACCTGCACAGGAGTCCTCATTTCAGTGTATGCCCCCAAAATGTCAACCACTCGCACGCGAAAGTCGATGGTAAAGTTATTTTCACTCTCTCCAGCAGGAAGTTTGGTTGTTAAACTAGTTTTTACTCCTTTGTACGCCACATTTAGAAGATCGTTACTTCTGAGGTAAATAAATTCATACTGCAACTGAAGATCTGGATCCTGCCAATTATCACAAGTAAAAGTAAACTCTGTTATAAGAGCAACTCCTGATATTTGGCTCACATTGCATACTCCTCCAACAGGGGGACTGTTTGAGGTCACGTGGTACTCGGAATACCCGCGGTATCCACCTGGTCGTTGTGCAGTCAATATAAATTTATACCTGGTATCGGGTGTCAGCACTCCAGGCTTAGTGACGAGAGATTTTGATGAAACTCGAGTACTTATCAACTCTTGTATTTCTAAAACCTCAGTCCATTGTGAACTGTTTGAAGAGTTATTCAAGTCTTTTAAAACCGTCCACTTGAAGATAAGGTTACCATGACATGAGGCACCTGTACACATGCCCTGTAAAGCCACTCTCCCAGATGGATTCAGTTTGGCATCGCAGTTTTCAACACACCTGTGGGTCATTTTGATGATGCAGTTTAAACAGATTTCAAAGCAAAGTTACACAGTGCACCCTTAGCCCACCTCGTTTTACTTCTGTCATTTGTGAACCATTTTTCTTCAATATAAAATTTAGTTCCCTCAATTTTTTCAGAATTGTAAACTAGATAGGTAAACGTTTACATTTAAAAGTAGGAACATATTTTTTAATCCTTCAATGGATGTATTACTTGAAATGATACAATAGTCTAAAGACCTAGGAATAGTCTACCTACAACAATACAGTATGGTATGCTCTGAGAAACTTGTCATTGTTCCATTAAAAGTTTTCTAAATGCCTAAGGTTGTCGCAATTAATTTGTCAAAGTTGATTTTGTTAAGATTGTCAATAACAGGTGAAGTTCAGCTGTACCTCATGTCTTAAGTTTCAAATACCTGATTTGCACTTCTGGTGGGTCACCAGGAACGATAAACACTTCCTGAGTGTACTCAGCTTTCCTTTCATCCCTTGTAACCTGTACTGTTATGAAGTATGAGGTGTTTTCTGTCATAAGACTGTTGTTTACTCTAAGTTCATGTCCAACATATTCTTTATCACCAGCCCTATAATAACATCCTGCCTCATCTGAATTATTAAGATCCAAAGGCGACTCTCCTCTGCATAGCCAGGTAAAGTTGAGGCCTAAAAAAGCACAATAAGGTTAAACGTAGGGGTTAAATTATGTCAATAGTAACGATCAGTTAGTCAAGAAGTTATTTTCATCCTTCCTGAAAAGTTTCCTTCGTCTTTTTCCGATTGCTCATGAAATTTTGTCAAAAGACCTATGATGTACTTGGTTACTAACCTGAAAATTGCAGATTCTCTTCATCAGGATCATATGAAAGGGATGCATCAAAAATCAATGTTCTTTCCAGTCCTCTGGCCACCTTGCTTCCTCCAGTGATGGATGCCACTAAAGGGCTACTCACCACCTCGAAATAACCCTGGCTGACCCCAAAAATTGCTGGTCCTATCATGCTGACATTGAGTTTAACCAAGAATTCACCAACTGGCAACAAGCGTGGTGTGATCTGTAATTCTGAGAAGCTATTTCTTGAAAGTAATGGTGTATCTTCTTCACCCAGTTTATAAACACGCCAGAGGAATGATGTTTTGTCAGATAACTCACAATGCAATTTGATTTCAGATTCTATTGTAAACTGTCTTAATCTGTGAATGCTCACGTCGGAAGATGCATTTGGTGAGATATTTGGCAGGCCCACATCCGGACTTTGGCATGGAAAGTCTGATTGAAAAATAAACCACTTTGAGATCTCCATGTGGAGGGGAAAGGGAGAAGGAGAAGGGGAATAAGGGGGAGAGGGAGACAAGGTCTAAGAAAAATTCAGCATGCGGTGTAACCCCTTCTTTAAACTACATGTACTTGCCACCATGCAACTAATTGAGGGCTAATTTAGCATCACAGTACCTGAGCAACCATACAACTCCACTCTCATTGAGATGTGCCTTGACCAAGTCACTGGTCGAAAACGGATGTAACGAGCCGTAATTGATTCGTTGAGGACATGACCGACAACTGTGTTCGGGTCGGTGTTTCCATCAAAAACCTAAAGGAGAAAAGGATTTAAAGTGCATCTCTACAATTGAGACTGGAGAGTAGTAAAGGTAATGATTGAAAGTGTTATTTCGTAGCGAATTCCGCACTTGTGTGGTAGATTAGCGGCGTAAAAATAATAATCCTTCTACAGTGCTTCTTCAAAGTAAACAACAAAATTCAAAACGTTTAGCAGGCTGGAGGATGAAATAGTCAGAAAAAGTGGAGCTCAAGAAATCCTGTTAATGAGCAAGAATTTTTCATCCTATTTTACCTTGTCTGCAGCTTGTTCAGGGTCTTTGTATGAGGTGAAGGTAGAACCATCCTTACTGTACTGCAGCTTGTACGTTGTCACCCACTGGTTATAGTTATATCGACCTTGAGTTGCAACACCTGTCACCCTGGTGAACACACTTCCCAGATCAATCTGAAGCCACTGATTTTTATCGTTTTCTTTGGCAGACCATGCTCCTTGTTTGCCTGACGGTGGTTTGTAATGGAGCCGTCCCTGAATGGCGGCATGGTTGGAGTTCCATTCTGAAGATGCTCGCACTTGTTCGTTGGGTATTCCATAATCTTCCATCCCTAGTGCTTCCTGACAATCTGAAAAGTTTAAAAGCGATTGAAACAAGAATCTAAGCATAAATATTACTCATAAAACACGCAAGTTGAATATTCCTTGGGAATCTATGATTTTTATTTTTACCAGTCAACCACGGCAGAAACCTTGCAACATGAACATGAAAGTCTGATGTTGACATCAAATGCTGCCCTTAGAGAGCCTTTTTTTAACGAATTGTGAGAGGAGCTCTTTAAGATATCTCGCTCAGTCCTTGTTTTCTAGAGATGTCGATGAAGAGGTTGACGTAGTAGCGCTGTAGAGCAGATGAGTCAATCAATATTTCCATCCTTGTATAAAAACATGTAAAAAATTAAAATCGCACACGCTACAGTAGACAGAATTGGTACTTCATCACAATCATTTTCCACGATTCTGTTTATTTCAGAGAATCTTTTACATGCTTGAAATTTATTTTATACTTTGGGCCTTGAGATTTCTCGTTCTTGATAATAAAACGCTTTCGTTAGGGCTTACAAAATTACCCCACAAGGTTTTCCGGTATCGCACGCACCGAAGCATACAGATATCAAATGATTTAAGTAGCCACTGATGAAAAAACGGGCACTGTCTCAGCTAGCTTGATAATTTTCACGGGTTAAATTTTTTTGACCGAGTGATCTCCTTTTTCTTTAATTCTTGGTGAGTGTCAACCTCTGAGGGAAATTAAAGAGTCCTTTGACTTCTTCTTGTGTAAAATACCGAGCGATCGCACCATTTTTATCTTTTTTCTTTTTAGCTTGTAAACGACATCCTGGAAAAAAACAAAATTGTGGAAAATAATTTTGATGAAATCGCTTTTTTAGCAATCCATTTTACATATTAACTATGGGGAGTTTCGTTCCAGTTACGTCTTACGATTATGCACGCGGATAATGAGTAGTTTGAAAGGTGGAATTATGAGATTAAGATTCAATTTTTTCTTTATTTTGAAATCATAATCAGAAGGGCTCTACATCGGTAACACGTCAACCTCGTCTTTAAGACCACAAGTGTTCAGATGATTCGAAATATCTCAATTCCTATCACCAAGAAATAAAAACTGCATGAACTTGTTATTGCAAGGAGATACTCATATATGTCTTTCAAATTGCTATTATCACAACTGGGTTTTCCATGTAGCACTACCGCTGCCTGCTTGCGATGTACACCCTCGTGATTACTTAATCGTGGTTTTCCTAACTATCTTTTTCTAGGATAGTATGTTTCTTCAGAATGCCCAGAAATATAGAAAAATGTCCGGTTCTCGTCTTCTTTGAGGCGAACGATAGAAACCTCATGGAGAAATACAGCGTCACGCCGTCTTGATAATGCATATGTTTATTAACCAAAGATCGGAGTTGAGATAGTTCGTCAGAAATAAGCCGACTTTAACATGTTGCAAATGACATAGAAGTATAGCAGTGTACTGGACGTCAAAGAATTTAGGATTGCTCAGCAGTCATTCATGAAAGTAGATCAATTTCTTTTAGAAGATGACAGCCAGAGGCGAATATCCTCTTCAGGATATTGCTCATAACATAACATTCCTTCAAAGCCATGTATATTACATTTGTCTAAATCTTTTGTTGCTGAGAATGTCAGATGAAAACATCGCCAAATTATGCAACAACTGATTTTTCAGCTTTGTTCGTCAGCTGCCCCTATGAGAAATAGCGGCCTCCCCTCCCAGATTTTTACATATTTCGCAACTAGAATATTATAATCAATTCAGTGCTTAGAAAAGTTTTCCCAGTTTTACCCTACAGCCAAAATGACCGAAATTGCACTGAGATAAATAATCGATTAGTGTGTTCACATTCACTCTTAAGGAAAATTGAGTGTATGAGAATATCTAAGGCGAATAATGTCACTGCGTATACATAATGGTAGATGTGCCAATGTGCCAATGTTGTAGAGAACTAAACATTTTACACTTTTTGGCAATTTTTTTGTGAAAATACACATTTTCTTGCTGACCAGTATTCTGATAAGTTATCATGCAATTAAAGGGTGCTGTCCTGATACAAAATAAAATTCACAGTGTTACTCACATTTAGTCATTAAAGACTTACTAAAAGTGTACCAGTGACCACCAAATTCTAAATCTAGCTCTCTGGTAATCTGAATAGACACGCCAAGTACAGTGTCAACTGATCATGTTTCATATAACACTTCTTATATGTTACCTCCATTTTTTGGTACAGCACAAAATTCACCAATGAAATGTTCAGTACATTGACAGTAAATACGAAGGGAAGAATGGCTAGGTCTCTGATCATCAACTTGACATGTTCCTCCATTTTGACATGGATTGGGATCACAAGGATCATCTGCAAGGTAACAATCAATTTAAGGGAGGGTACTCTCACATCAAAAAGTAACAAATTTGATACATGTATAATCAAAATTGTCATTAAAATGACCCATTTTACCTTTGTGTTCTTCACTGCCAAAGCTTACACAGAGGTGATGACAAAGGCTAGAGGTGTTGACCTTAACATAATAAATAGTTGCTAGTTTTTCTATTCTAATCTGCACTCCCATCATGCAAAATTTACCTTTTTTTATCATTATCATTTTGAATAAAGTTAACTTCTAGCCTCACTTTCAGTCACCGTGGGCTTAATGGAAGTTAAAAATTGGTTGATGCAATTTTAGACTACTGGACAAATATGCAAAAAACTCATCAGAAAAGTATTTTGTGACTCAAATGTACACTAGTCTTTAAATTGATTAAATATCATAATCCACTTTGTCTTAGTGGCTACTATACAATGTTTGCACCACTGTGAAGTGGTCAACAACTGACCCAGCCTAAGAGAAACCTGTATGATTATTCACTAGCTGAGCTATCTGCAGGTATTGATCAGCTGGCTGAATACAAGAAGAGCCATGCAGACCAAGGCTGTCAATTAGGAATTATTGGTTACAAAATTGGCCTTTCCAGTAATGCTAGTTCTACAGCCAAACTTCCTTGGCAGTTAAAACCTGCTCCTCAGAATAAGCTTGGCAGTAAATCAGACTAGCAAAGTAAGCAAAACAATTTAAATAATGACTGTGGTTTAGTTGTAACCATTTTCTTGATATGTGTGGTCTGCTCTCTGACCATTGCTATCTTGGTTGTAATCAATTGCATGTTGAAGTAATAAGTATACTCAGTTTGGTTGAGTTTGTGGTCTGAAAACTGCAGTAGAAAATGTCTAAGTATCAAAAAAAGTTTCACTCATCACACTTTCAACAATTATCAAAGATAACTCCATATTAGGAAGTAAATTCTGATAGGCTACTCTTATGTTCTACTAAAACTGTCTGACATAACTATGCTTGTACAAGGTGGTTATTAATGTTTCTGCCCATATTATCAAGTGATCTAACTCTAATAGACCACTGCATGTCCTACACAAGGTTTATTCATAAAATCAACTTGAACTTGAATTACAATAAAGAGAAAAATTATAAAGCTTGTCCAGAATCTATAAACTGTCAAAAAGTGTCAGCATCTTTCATTGCAAAGAGGACCAGGACAAGATATTCTAGGGATTTCACTGTTCCTTGAATTTCTTTCATATAAGTGAGTTTTCCCTGACTCATGCAAAGTGAAACTCCCTGACTTATTCCCTAACCTTGGCAAAATATTTATTTCCAACTTTTCCCTGGCCTGTGACAACCATGAATTAAGTTAACATAAGTCACCAATTAAAGATAACAATATTATAGTATCTCTTGATCACGTTTATCATAAGACAAGGAAAGAGAAGGAGTGATGGGAGAAGTAGGAAGAGCAGACAGAGAAGGAGGAGTTACTTGACAATAATGATATCTGGCTAGAATATTGCTTAATTTCACATTCCATTACACCTAAATGGCCACTTTATAGATACAAAACATCAATTATTTCAACCCTTCCCACCCTTGAAAACATTTGTAGCTACACAAACTAAGCATCAAGCATTGTGTTTTATCCTAACTAACCCCTAAGAGTGATAAACTTCTAATTTCTCCCAACAGTATTACCCCCCTTTGTCTGTACCCTAGGAAATGTACGGAGAACAGTATGGAGAACTTGGATGCTGATCTTAGGGTGTAAAGGGTTAAACAATAAACAGGAACTGTAAAAACAAAAATTTACCAGTATCTTCTTGCAATCAGCTGCAGGGACATCTTGTGACCACATTTAGTCTCTTCATTTAATTATAGCATACAGTTTCTCAGACATAACCACAATCACATTGAAGAACTCAATATACATTCCAGAGCAAGATTAATTTGGAATCTGCATATATCTGCAGTTTTTCACTCAGAGTGTCTGCAGCTGTCTTACCTGTATAATTTGACCCATCCTATTAAACCCCAGCATAAAAGCCAGTTCACTCTGGGTTTGGGCTAAACCTTGACTCCACTCTTTCTTATACATTAGTAAAGCAAGCTAATTGTCATACCGTATTTATGTGACAATGTTCTGCCCTCCACGTTGTTTGAATATGGCCCATCTTTTTCATTTCCATCCACCAAATATATTCCAGCAACCTGAATGTTATATGCAGTGTTCTTCTTGAGCTCAGTTATTTCAACCTCTCTTTGATCAGAACTTACGGTCATATACTTCTGATCATTACTATTAGATTTTGCATATCTTATCTTGTATCCTGAGACAGAAGAAAGCTGGTCCCAACTAACTGTGATTGAGTTTTGGCTTGTGGTAACAACTTTGAGCCCTGTGGGTTCTATGTAAATCATACAAAATGAGATGAATGACAATTAATACTTGAAATCACATGGTCACTTGAAACTAATAAATAAAAAATTCATAATCACAATGACAAGGAATTATCTGACAATTTTTCCAAAATTGCAATCTCGTATAGATTCATCTACATAAATTATGCATAGTTCATGACACAGTCTGTGGTGACATTCTGAGGGACTCACTGTGTATAAGATACATTTTCTCCTTACTTATAAGTCATTGAACAGAAAGAACCATTTGATAGAATTCCAGACATGATTGGGTATTGCAGTAAACTATTCATGGGAGTAACATGAATTTTCATAGTTAGATTAATAAACTTACCAACAAAAAGAGGTATAAAGACATCCTCATGTAAATAAAATGGTATTCCCATATGCACACTGGATAAGTTTGTCTGTACATTACACTTTATACTTGTTTTTACCTGTACATTTTATTTGTTTAATAAGCACAATCAAAACAAATGTGATCAACAACTTCTCCATGCTTTAAATCTGTGCACTCTTACAATGCACTCTCATCTACATCATCTCATGCCATGAACTAGAATGTAGATAAAGAGATATCTCAGTTTATAGTTTAAAACTATCAGGGTTGGGATTGAACTGTTTAACTAATTCCATGTTGTGCATCTGTTCAGTAATAGATCGCAGACGATGTCAAAATGTTGCAAGAACAAAAAAACTGGCTCATAAGGGGAGTAGCCAAAGGTGTCATTGATGTTTTAACCACATTTTTAAAACTTTTGTACACCATCATTAACCAGTGCAGACGCACTGCAGTATAAATTCCACTTGTTTTGAACTGTAAATTAAAGAAACAAAATTTTGTTCATATTGACGGATCAGTGCGTCTGACCCGTCCTACGATTGTTTCTAAATTAGACCTCATCAAACTGTTTAAGTCAGCATATTGCATAAAGAGTAATTATTGGGCTTTAGAAATCTCGTCCAAGTAATTTTTTGTTTCAAATCGTTTGAAACAAGGCGAGTCACCTGTGCGTAGAGCTGAATAAGTGAAATGACAATGAAATTAAACTAAAAAGTGGTCTGTTACTGAGAAGTTGTAAGAATTTGATAAATTGGGCTTTCAACCTAGGACTCAAAAAAGTGGTTGTAAAACAAGATTCTATTCAAATGACACCGGAACATGATATTTTTACGACATAAAATACCGAGAAAGAGTGTAAATGAAATGACCAAAAGAGCAGTTTAAGCTCTTAAACTTACCTCAAGAGAACCCAAGTATATATAGCGGTGGACTTAACTCAGGTAAGGAGTAGTAAAACGTTCAGGCTTGTTTTAGTTATTTACCACTAACAAGCTTGCACTATTAAATAAATCGAACGCAATAATTTTGAGTATTATCAGTTAAAAGAATATATATAAAAGTAATTAATTCTCTTACATGAACCACAATAATTCGTCGGAAATCCTGTCCTAACAGTTCGCACGTCACACGACTTCGTCAGCTATGACGCAGACGCCACACGGGGGAATATAGCGGAAAACTGGCGGGAAATGCTCCTTCTCGTCACCAGGGCCTTTCATGTGTGACGGGTGATTAGGCGTAGGCGCCAGTATTTCATGTCGCAGATGGTCTTTTTTTTTACAAAAGAAAATTTCTGCACTTCAGATCGTTATTGTTGTGCATTTTGTTCGTGAGCGCAACTGGAAAACTTGTTTGTTCAATGCAGGCAGGACTTTCCTTCCAAGGCATGCGAGGGTACCTCGAGGCTTCGTCCAATCTTTACTAGTTCGCCGCCAAATCTTTCGTCTCGTTTTCCTCAATGAATAGATTTTTAAAATTTCTTGTTATGAAATGCATATTGACTTCGTAAGCAATATCCAAATTCTAAGCTATGCTTGTCCTCATGCGACTGTAGGAGTAATGAAAAGCCGTTACATTACACCACTCCTTCTGTAACTTAATTGACAGATTTATTGTTAATATATCGTTAGAATTGAAGCAAAAATAAAGGACTATTTCCCTCGCCTTACATCAGCACTTCGCGCCAACCAAAAAGCTGAAACAAAAATTTTCTCCAAAAAAAGATTGGATCAGTATCAGTAGCTGACCGTAGCTCTCTGGGATAACTGGTCTTTTTTTTAAGATTTTAATACCCCTCGATCGACTTTACATGCTTAGTTAAAAAAAATATATATATATATCAGTAAAAAATTCTAGTTAGAACTAGTCTTCGTTGAAATTTGACTTGGGAAATTAAATTTTGTTTCCTAATTCCTAAAACTCGCTTCTGTGGTTCTTACTTTGTTGAAGTTCGGACGAAATTTTATCAAGTTTATCTCCTGCTGATGTGCATTCCACACTTTAATCTCCTTAAACATATTAAGCAGCATACGACAGTTTGCAGCCTTTCCCTACATCTAGCCGAAAAACTCAAGAACAAAAATTTATCTTTCAAATCTGCACTAGTGCGGAATCAATGAGCGCTTTTCATTCAACTAATTTATTCTTGTTTTCTCTCCACCATATTCCCACCAATAGCGTTGCTCGATTTTCTGCATATAACACACACTCAACCCATGATTCCTCCAATCGCTATAATGAAGGGCTAGCACTCGAATCTGCAACTTTTAAACTCTTTACGGGGGCCAATTTACGTTCATTTATTATCAACTCCGTTGATAATACTAAATTATTCTGTTATTACTCTCCCACCAACGTAGCACCGCAGTTTCCTTAGAAACTTACCCCTTTGCTGTTGAAAATTATACTCATCAACGGATGCAAAAATAAAACGCTTAACTTCGCTTTACCGAAAAGCCGTTGAGCTCAATGGTCCTTGTTTCTCAACAAACAATCGAATTGAGCTCAGAAAGCTTAATTTCAAAGTGTGCACCCGCTTATTTTCGTTTCATAGTAATATACATAGATTCTGTAAAACTTCCTTTCAGTCGTGTTTTTTTGTTTTGTCAGAACGGTAAAAGAAGTAGATAGCAGTCATCACTACTAAAAAAGGATGGAGTTGGCTGCGCATTCAACAAAAATACTTTCACACCATCTGGGTCGCAGTAATCATCGGCTCTGATATTTTCAAGAGTTTCTTACTTGACGCGCAGTAAAAATGTTTAGTGTGAGCGTGCACAGGAGAAATGGTCCCTTGCACTGGGTGTGACCGTCCTTAAGTGTTCATGCGATCAGGTACTTTAATAAGTTCAATTCACGCCTGTCTAGATGAAGTCCAACGTTTCACCAGTTTAGTTGCATTTTCACGGTCATTAGAGGGACCTAGAGATCGTTTTCACAGGATATTCCGACGGTCATATTGGCTACCGAAACAATAGTGACTCACGGCCATGTTAGTACTGCACTAAAACATATATTTAGGAGCAGATTTTCTTTTTTACAATAACCACCAAGTAAAAACAACGACGCATTGATTTAGGAGGTTAATATATCAATCTTTAGCAATACTAGCGAAAGGTGCCCAAAATTTTAAAATCGAGCATTAGGCATGGTTGAAATTTTGAACGTTATCCGTTTACCGATTTACACACCTCGAGCCTGGTAAATAAATAAATAAGCTCTGAATCAATCCCCATGAACGCAATCGGCCAACAAATACAAGTTGCATGCATGGATACCACTTTCCCGTGATCGTATTTATTGCAATCCAGCGAATAAATGTACAAAATCTACTACGTTAAATAACAGGTAGCGGTAAATCTGCTAAATGGAATCAGCCTTCCTTTGAAGAATGTTTAAAAGAATTACTACATCAAAATGGTATAAGAATGCTATTAGTTGATTAACACGACAACTGAGACTGTGTTGGTCCCTCATGGTAAGATTCCAAGGCCTATTAGGTCCAATTGATGAAGTTGCAATTAAAGCCATCGCAATTATGAGTGTTTAACTACAATAAAAACCTAACACTGTAAAAGAAACAATTATCAAAATGGCGAAGTGAAATCTAATGAGTATATGCACTTGAAAGCAGCCCCTAATAAAATTATGCTATGGGAGAAAAATGACTGAAATTGTTCCAAAGTTAACATGACAATGATATCTCCTTCACAGTAACAGCTTATTTTAATTCTGAAAGTGATTCGAAAGGTCGATTCAAGATGATTTGGTGGTTTTTTTCGAACAGTCCTAAAGGCGAGTCGTTTATCAATTGCCTATGGTAAACAAGAAAAAAAGTTCTTATTCCTTTGCATCCACCTAATCTTCCTCCTCTGTAGACTCAAAACTTTCTGGTGCATCGAACCAGTTTTCACGTAAATCCCTGGATTTCCTAGCTTGCATGTGGAGATCAAACCACAAAGAAAACAGCTCAAGGTCTTCACAAAATTCTTCGGCATAGTGAACATTTAAAAGATGATTAATCCGATCCAACCTTGCCAATATCTCAGCTGCCTCAGGAAGAATATCTTCCTCAATCTCCGTGTTCGGTAAATCATACGCAGATTTGTCTTCATTCGCCCTTAAGCGGTCGCCCACGCAGCCTAGAAGTTCTCTCGTTTTCATTATCACGAAGTGTCCGAGACCAAATTTTCCTCTGGAGAGTTCCCTGATGCGGCCATAATTATAAACAAGAACAGAAACGAAAATATTTATGCATATGAGATTAAGTCCCAATTTTAACGCTGTAAAGTAAACGGGGCCAATGACTGTGCAACAATCGTTAAAATAGTCCACTCCGCCACCAACGACTCCTTCGACAAGAAGAGACTGTAGAATGAGGAAAGGCG